TTTTTTTTTTTTTTTTTTTTTTAATTTTTATTTTTTACACTTCGTTCTGTTTAGTGATACAAGCTATAGTATGTTTGTCAAACATTGAATTATCAAAGCAAAAGTTTGCTGAAGATGATAGCAAATATTGTTGATATGCCCTTCTCTATCTTTCAAGTTTCACCTACTTTCTCTCTTTTTTTTCATTATTCTTGGAGGGTATAGTTGTAATTTAGGAATTGACAAGGGATGTGAATTAAATTCATTTGGTTGAGTTTTAAAACTCAATATTTTTTGTTCACTAATATCTTGAACATAAAGAGTTAATAGATAGACAAATTAAATATGTTTGGCCCATCTAGTCTTATTTTCGTATTCATTTTCTACTTGAAAATACAAAGATTAATTCGCTCCTCTTTTCCACTTTTATTAGAGGTGGTTTATACGATCTAAGCTACCATAGTAGGGTTAGTTGGGTTAGATTCTTTTCCAAATTTGGATCACGGATTGGAGCTTTTATTGGTCGGATAAACCCAACTAACTCAAAAATATGATTTACAACTCAACCATACCTTACTTTTAAGATTTGTTAATGAAGAATAAAAATATTTGATGTTACAATAGTTGTAATAAATATTAGTGATATGTTATGATTTATGAATGTTTGATATTTAGGTTTCGTGATATTTGAGTTATTAATGTAATATGTAGTATAATTTTTTTAATGATTGAAATAAATCTAAACGGTCTGACAATCCAACTTAACCTGATTATGAACTCTTTTCATACACCTTGTTATTGTTAAATATCTCTCAAACAAAAAGAATTTGTGAAAAATAAGATTGTTCATAAGAAACTTACTTTTAACAAGCAAAATGATTATAATATACATACTCGACTTTAAACTTTTGAAATTAACCATGGTTTAACACTAATACTAAATCAAAAGTCTTTCAAGTCGCGTGTTTGAACGATAACCGTCAAAGTTATTTACATTAAAAAGGAAAAGGTTAAAGAAGAAAATGAAGGTGATTTGAACTCAATTAACTTTGTAAAACAAAAGAAAGGTAGCCAATTAAATTAACTTTTAGAGTTAAAGGAAGGGCTTTTAGAACTTTATAAAAGTGATTAATGAAGTTAAGATACTCACTAAGATTGTGTTGTTTTGTAATTGGCAATCACTTTCATTTAGTGAGGCAGTTGATGATTCTTGCATGTGCCTTCCCACATGCTACCAAGTCATCATCACTGCCCTTTTCTCTCCACCTTTATGCCCTTCCCCTACCAATAAAGCTTGCAAATTTTGATACCCCTTTTCAATTTTAAAGTGGTGGGGGAGGAAAAAAAAACAAACAGTTAATTTCCGAGTATAGGTACCTGTATTTGATCTCGATATTAAAGAAAATGATATATATCAACTATTACTAAATTATACTGACTTTCACGAGAAAACTATTAGAATAGAGTTAGAACATGTTTGAAAATAACTTTAAAATGGTTTAAAATCACTTTCAAACCTATCGTTAGTATTCTAAAGATTTATATGATCATCAAAACAATCAAAAACAACCTTATATTGTGAAAAATATTTGATTTTGTCAAATGCAAAGTTAAATACACAATACTAATTAAAAAAGTACCTTTATAATTAATAAATGCACATTGATTTGCTCTCCTTTGAAAATAGAATGATATCCTGCAGTGGTCAAATAGGAAGTCAAAGTCAGCATCAAATAACAAATTCCATGCCCTTTGTTACAAGGCATCAAACATTTGACCATATTTGAAGTGAAATGAATTCCAATAGCAATTAATCATTTAAATGACAGAAACATATGAATATGGTAAGAACTAAGTACTATAGAGCTTGTAATAAGTAATATCTTATCCACTAAACAAATATAAGAGAAAAGAGAATTAGAAAATGAACTATTTAATTTTGAAATCATTTTAGGCAAAGGAGGAAAAAGGATAGATGCTATAAAGAATGAACAAATAATGTTAGGCAACTTAATACCTAAAACTTTGAAGTGAAAGCGCACTTTCTGTTAATGAGTTTGAAGGAAGTATTCCAAAGTGTCATTATTCATTCCAAGAACTAAATTCAGTTCATGACTGACTATTCTACAGCACATTGGTAGGCTTATGCTCCACTTTACAACTGAAAATAAACTGTTCAAAGAGCACCATAGAATTAGAATCAAAGAAAGCAACTTCCCAACCCACCTTACATTCACATTCTAGTGCCACATTCACTCACATGCCTTCCAACCCTTTTGCTTTCCTTCATTCCTTCCCCCTTTTCTTCCCTAATAACAGGTAGATATTGCCTAATAACAGGTAGGAATTGGGGAAAGAATTTTAAGTTGTATTACAAATTACTTCCGCTCTCACGTGCTTAACGTTAGACTCCTTATAAGGGTTTGTCACATTATAAGAACGAAATTTTAACTTTTTGAAAATATAGGAACTAAATTCTAACTTTCACTATAACAACTCAAGCCCACTCTAGCAGATATTGTCTGTTTTGGCTTGTTACGTACCATCGTCAGCCTCACAGTTTTAAAACGCGTGCGCTAGGGAGAGGTTTCTACACCCTTATAAGGAATGTTTCGTTCCCCTTTTCCACCATTGTGTGATCTCACATTCACCAAAGTCCAAACCACAAGGATTAAATTTGTAATTTAACAATCAAAGGGAAAAAAGGAATATCGGATTAATATAATTAATATGTATGGAATACTTCTCATTGCATAACATAAGAACTAAATTAAAATTCAGGTAAAACAAAGGTACTAACAATCTACAATCTAAATAAAGCTAACTATGTGTATCTAACATTAGATTTTATTAAGATAGACATGACAACTTTAAATAAACAAGACTTTTCAAAACCTAACATGATATAACACGAGACAACTTAATAATCATATAACTATTATTTTCACTTAAATAATTGAGGGAAGAATTTAAATGACAGCTATGTCGTAGTCTTAACAGATGGCATTTGGCAAATGGGGTCTCCAAATGAACAGATCAGAAAATGATATTAAAAAACAACAGTGGAGAGTATTAATTTGTGGCGTTGGAGGACGAAAAAACAAATAGGGAAGCATGTGAGTTGGGCCCATTGGATACTACTTGGTTGTAGGGACTGTAAATAGAAATCTGTATTATAATGGACCCATTTCCATTTCTGGGCCCAAAATTTCCCCAATGGATATGTACAAGGAGGCGCAATCAGAAGGATGAATTTTCACTTTCAGTTGCAAATGCAACTCCTCAGCCTCAGACATGAACTTTAAAGATGTTGAGTTGTGGCTTCCCACCCATCCTAACCTCTTTTCATTTCTAGTTCATTGTATTGACATTTGAAAGCAATATGTTTTATGACAATCGTTGGTGTTATTTTCTTTTCCTTCTTATCCATCTTCTAATCTTTCATTCATGTCTAAAGTAACATCTACTCTTTGTAATTTGTAATTTGGAATTTGGAATGACAACTATTCTCATCTATCACATCTAATAGAGGGTGGTTTCTAACCTGGAATTTTAAAGAGCGTTAATGTGAAATCCCACCTAGGTTGAAAAGGGGAATGAAGCATGTTTTATAAGAATATGAAAATCTCACCCTAGCAAACACGTTTTAAAAATCTTGAGGGGAAACTCGAAAGAGAAAGCCCAAAAATGATAATATTTGCTAGCAGTGGGCTTGGGCTAGTACGAATGATATTAAAGTCAAACACCAGGTGGTGTGCCAAAGAAGACATTGAGCCCCGAAGGCAGGTGGATTGTGAGATCCCACATTGATTGGAGAGAGGAATGAGTACCAACGAGGACGCTGGCCCCGAAAGGGAGTGGTTGGAGAGGGGAACGAAACATTATTTGTAAGGGTGTGGAAACCTCTCCCTAGCAGATATGTTTTAAAAACCTTGAGGGTTATCCCGAAAGGGAAAACCCAAAAAAGACAATATCTGCTAGCGGAAGACTTTAACCGTTACAATTAAAACCAAACGGACTAGTGTAGAAAATTCTAGTTGTCAGCATTGCTGCAAAAAGCTTGTAAGTAGTCTGTTATACTCATGACGGGGCGAGCTAGAGAGGACCTTTAGTCTTCGAAATGGTAAGTACAGTTAGCTTCAGCAAAGTGCGATTTCACCGGCGCAAGAGAAATGAGATATTTTGTTATTTTCTTCCTTTGTGCATTTCGGCATACCTACCAAATAAAGTGCAATCAACAGAAATATGTTAGAACTTTTATTTATAACTTGGATCGAATTTGTTGTAGTATGGTTCTACAGTGAGTCAGTAAGCTTACGTTTGGTAATTAACCATTTTGTTGAAAGATTGGATTCCAACCAAAATCATAAGGGCCCCTGGGAAGAAGGAAGAACAAATTTTCCCTAATAGATCAAATAATGAGGACAACTTTTTAGTGCAACATAGAAAAAATCTGGAGAACTCATTTTCATAGTGTTATTTTGAGAACAGCAAAATTTTCTGAGATCATCAATGAGTAAGAAACTAGACAAATATGCATTAGGAAAGAAATGGAATAAGGAATAGCACACTGCCTAACCACTGATATTCTAATACCCGTGATTAATCTGTAGCTTCCTGTGTTAGACAAAAAAAATTATAGGTTGCTTCATTGTCGATCATCATCAACTTCTTGACTGCCAATACACCCTTGGGATTGTCTATGGTACCATTTACACGACCACTGAATTTAAAGTGATCTCAACCAATTGAATAGCTTCTTCTTCTCCTTCTGGCCTTGATTGTACTAACTTCTCATTCATCAACTACCAAAAGCTGCAATTATCTGTCCTTGCACTAACACCCAAAATTATTTCCAATCCCAGACTTGTATGTATGTTCCTACAACCAGAATTTACACTGAACTCCCAGTTAGACCCTTTAGAAGCATAATCTCACTAAGTTGGGGGACTCTTAAGGATGGTCACTGGATTGCTATCATAAAAAATTGGCCTTTCTAGCATATGCACTTGACTTCAACACGAATGTTTCCTTCCCTCTGCCTTAACTACGCTCCTCTTCGTCATTATACTTGATCAAGTTTTGTTCTCTTAACCAAACTAACTGGCATAGATATACTCAATAGCCAGCTGCAATATAGAATCACTACCTCATAATAGTGTCAAGTTTCTCAACATGGGAAATGGAAACTTATATTTCATACTCATTGACAATGATTCTTAGTGAAAGCTTCTGATATTAAATTTCTCTTCTCCTCTCCTCTTCCTTTTTAAGCCAAATGCTGCGGGTCGTAGGAGAAAGGGTGCAATTTTCACACTCAATTTGAAGATCTTATGTATTTGAACTTCTATAAGCCAAAGAGCCCTCTTCTTTGGCCCAAGTCCAATCCCTCATTCATTCATTCCAGCAATCAGCAGTTGTAACTTTTTGTTTCATAGAAATACCATAAATGTCTGGAAAAGTAGCCTCAAGAGTGTTTTCCCCAGTCCACCTATCTTTCCAAGACTTCAGTCTCCTCCCACTACGAGCTTCAAAATCCAAAAAACGAAAAAAAAATCACTATTCTTTGCAATTTCAAACCATTCCAATACCATAAATACCATAAATACTAGGAACCAACATCTTCCACAAAGCATTCTCTTCTTGGTTAAACCTCCATAGCCACTTGAGGAACAGGCTGTTTTCTGAAGAAAAGCCCCAATACCTAAACCACCATAATGAAGAGGGAAGGGAAGTTTTCCCCCAATTTACAAGATGGCTGCAAGAACCCTTTGATAAACCCCCATTCCACAAAAAAGTTCCTAACCATCCATTCAATCATATTTGTTACACCCTTGCGAGATTTAAAAAAGGATAAAGAATAAAAAGGGAGGTTATTAATCAACAATTGAGCAAGTGCCAGCCGACCACCGTTCGAAAAAGTTAAGCTACTCCACTTTACAATCATCTTTCAGACTTTTGTCCCAACGGGAATGCTCAAAAAGAAATGGCGGCTTTTCCACATTACATCCCAAGGAAAAAGAACTATCCAGCAGAGTGCTACCTCAATATTTATGCCAATAAGAGGAGTTTTAGTGAATTAAAGACATAAAATATGCTTCTTATGCATACTCAATTGGGATCCTATTGTGGATGGATCTCAATGAGTTTTGTTGAAATTTTAGAGATGGAGACAAAGAAGCAGAGATCAAATTTTATACGGAAAAAGTTATCGTTTGGGTAATTAAGGAAATCAAGTCCTTCTTCTCTTCAAGCATGTAAGATCTTTGGACAAAGAAAGACCCTTCTCTCCCTTAGAATCAGACGGGGCCTTCAATTGAATTCTTCTATAACTTTATTAAACATATATCTATCTTTCAATGACATCATCGTAATGTTTCAATCAAAATGCTAAGAATAAACAAAACTTCACCTCAACAGGGGAATTGATAAAGTAGCAACTTACAGTATGGCCCTGAAACATGACAATAACCACATGTTAATGATCTAAACATACACTCTGGAAGAAAGACCCTTCAAGGCATTGAAGCAGAGGCTAGTATCTTCGACTAGAACAGAACTGATATATCTAAATTTCATTGTTTAGGCCATTTTGATAACCGTTTGGTTTTTTATTTTTGAAAATTGTGTTTTCTTTCTCATCATTTCTCTAGATTTCATTTCTCTTAAACAGAACACTCGAATTCTTAATCAATTTTTTCAAAAATTACAGCATTGACTATTTGTTTTTTACTTTTACAATTTTAAATTCAGCCTTCTATTCATCTGAAGTGATTCTTAATCGAGTTATCAACAAATATAGAAGAATGTGCACCTAGATAGCAGCCAAACGAGCTTTCTCTTTCGATATAGCTTCCGGTTCGCCTTGCAGCTCCGACACTGCTTGTAATAACACAACAAATTCAAACAAGTACACAAAAGATCGAAAAAATAGAAGCAAGTGAAAGAGAGAACGTACAGTCAAGCTTGAGAGACCGAAAAAGAAACAGAGCGCTGCTCAAGATTGCTCGAACTTCCTCAAGCTTCTTGGCGTTGCCGGTCACAATTGTCACTGGCCGAGGTACCACCGATCGAATTCTTGAAGCAGCAATTGTTGCCATTTTCCCTCGGCCCTCGCTGATTCCCGCTCACATGATTCGGTCGAGCTCCAAGTACAAAATTTCAGTCTCAAGGCGCCAAATCTTAAACCCTAATATGGTACGAGGGGTTTACTCTCACCATATTTTAACGGTTTGGGCGGTTAGTACTAGCCATCCTTACAATGTACTTTATTTTTATTAATTTTTTTTTAATTTATTATATTAAATCTCAATACTATAAATAGTCTCGAAATAGAATTGAAATAGAAAGCATGTATTTCTTAGTTGATAATACCAATTAATACTTATAAATATATAAAATATAAATTAACTAAATCTTGAAAATAAAATAAAATATCTTACTAATCGAATTATTAACGAATGAATATTTTACCGCAAATATATTTCATAATTAATTATTATAATATATTTTAATATAAATGTTCAATTTTTATTATTATAAAAAAAATATTTCGTTCTCGTTTCTAACAGATGTGGAATCTCACAACCTACTCTATTTCTCTCTTCTATTTGTTGAGGATTATTGGGAGTGGGTCCCACATTGGTTAATTTAGTAGAAAATCATGAGTTTATGAGTGAGGAATACTATCTCCATTGGTATTAAGCCGTTCGGGAGAGCAACAAAACCATGAGAGCTTATTGTGGAGAGTCATTGACGTAGCGTTTTTAAAAAATAAATATTATATTTTTCTATAAAATATTAATGAATTTATATTTTGTTTTTATATTTTAAAATAGAAAAAATGGTGACGGAACAGACGTATTCCGGGCATGCAAAGGAATCAACATGCCGGCGTTCCACCTCCATAAATATTTCTCGTATTTCAAAACGACTTCAACTAACTCTCTGCTAACAAAATTTAAAAATTTCTCTTTCCCAGAATGACATTGTCTCAGTGCAATTAAATTTAATTGCTATTTACTCCTCCACAACTTGACTTTGCCTTTGCATTTACGCCCTCCAACTGTTCCTTTTCCCATTTTCCACCCTATATAAACCCCTCCCCGCTGCCCCATGCAAATTCAGGGATACAGAGTGAGAGAGAGGTAATGGAGAAGCTCTTTGTAATGCTCTTCCTGGCTGTTGTTGCGGCGGCTACGGCGGCGCGTAATGTTCCCGGTGCTGAGAAGGTGCAGTTCGTGGACGCCGTTCAAGTCAAGGCGGCGGAGTTGCTGGCGGCGGGTGGTGATGCTGGTCGTGATGAGAAGACTTTTATCTACGGCGGAGTTGGTGGATTTGCTGGCATGGGCGGGTACGTGTAAAACTATTATTAAATTAAAAAATATATATATTAAGTTTGATAATTATTTTATTTTAATTTTTATCTAATTTTGAAAATTAAATTCTTTTAATTTTTAAAATTTTGAAATCTATAATTAAACAGGTATGCAGGGTTGGGTATGCCGATGCTGGGTGGCTCTGCTGGGATCGGGAAATTTGGTGGAATTGGAGGTTTCGCCGGAATTGGTGACCCGGGTGGCCTCGGCGGTATGGGCGGCGGAGGAGGAGGTGGTGGTGGAATAGGTGGTGTGGCTGGGCATGGAGGTGGCGGAATAGGTGGTCTAGCTGGGCATGGACTTGGTGGAGCTGGCGGAATAGGTGGTATAGTTGGGCATGGACTTGGCGGAGGTGGCGGAATTGGTGGTATACCTGGACATGGACTTGGAGGAGCTGGTGGGGTCGGAGGATCCGGCGGCGGTGACAGTGGAAATGGTGGAACTGGCGGGATCGGAGGATCAGGCGGTGGTGGAGACGGCGGAGCAGGCGTCGTTCCAGTCGGTGGCTCTGTTCGGCCATAAATTGATGTTAAAATGTTAATTTCCACCCAATTATCTCGTTTTGTTAATGTTATTATAGGTAGTATTTTGATTTTGTGTTTGTAAGCTGATTTGCATGACTGCATGCATGCATGCCACGTGTTTTTCTATAAATAAATATTTCCTTTTTTGCCATTTTTTTAAGCTTTTAAACTTAAATCTCTCCCATTAATTTAAATAATATAGAAAAAAATATAATTAATTAAAACTTTTTACTACTCATTATATTAATTTAAATATTTTTTATAAATTAATAATGAAAATTTTAAAAATATCATTAGACTTTCAAATATTTAAGAAAGATCTATAATTTTCTTTTTTTTTTTTTTTTGAAAATCTAAATGTTAGTTTGGATTTTAATTTATATTTTTAAAAGTTGGAGTTATTAATGAAAATTTAAAAATTAAAATTAAATTTTTAACCATATTTTTAAAATAAATTACTAATAATTTTTTTAAATTGTGTACAAAATTTAACCTAAGAAAATTCATCTGCCAATATAACAAAATTACTGTGTATTTTTAAATAAATTTTTATATTTTTATTAACTTTTAACCTTCTAATGGGTTAAAGATTGAAATTACTGTCATTTAAATATTATAAAAAAATTAAAATTAATTAAATCATTTAAAAAATTTATTAATTATTTATAATTAAGATAAATTAATTTTTTAAAAATCATCTTACTCAAAAAAACAATTTTCCATTTATAAATATAATTACATAATTTCTGATAAAAATAGTTTTTTTTCAAAATCTCAAATCACTCCGACTATAAAGGCCAGGCAAGAACAGCCGTTGCAGCTTTGTTTCAAAATCAGTTTAATTTTGAGACGAAAATGAGTAGGTGCATATCCTAACTTAAACTTTTTGATTAAATATTATAATTGTAACTTCCATTTGTATAACTTTCTGATCGAATTTAATATACCTTATTAACTCAATAGGCTCAGATTGACAACAACAAAATCATATTAATTTAGTTATATAATCTTGTACTTGATAATAGAATTTAAAACTCATTAATAAAAAACATTAAAAAAATAAATAAAAATCAAGTGAGATTAAGACTTACAATAAAGCCGTGTATTTGGATGGTGCTGATTTCATCTCAATAAATATACAAAGAATTCCACTCTTAGTCGTAGATCTAGTGGTCCAAGATATTTATATTTTTATTTTTGTCATACCAATAATAATAGAAAATTAGTTTAATTTAAATTATATATAAAAAAATAAATAAAACTTTTTACTACTAATTATATTAATTTAAATATTTTTTATAAATTAATAATGAAATTTCGTTGATATTTTATTTTAAAAATATCATTAGACTTTCAAATATTTAAGAAAGATCTATAATTTTCCTTTTTTTTTTTGAAAATCTAGATGTTAGTTTGGATTTTAATTTATATTTTTAAAAGTTAGGCTTATTAATGAAAATTTGAAAATTAAAATTAAATTTTTAACCATATTTTTAAAATAAATTATTAATAATTTTCATCCCATTATAAATGTATTTTTTAAATATTGTACCTAAGAAAATTCGTCTGCCAATATAACAAAATTATTTTGTATTTTTAAATAAATTTTTATATTTTTATTAACTTTTAAGTCATTAAATATTATAAAAAAAATTAAAATTAATTAAATCATTTAAAAACATTATTAATTATTTATAATTAAGATAAATTAATTTCAAAAAAATCATTTTACTTAAAAAACAATTTTCCATTTATAAATATAATTACATAATTTCTTATGAAAATAGTTTTTTATCCAAAATCTCAATCACTTCACTATAAAGGTCCAGGCAAGAATAGCCGTTGCAGTTTTGTTTCAAAATCTAATTTAATTTTGAGACGTAAATGAGTAGGTGTATTCATATTATAATCGTAACTTAAACTTTTTGATTGAATATTATAATCGTAACTTCCATTCGTATAATTTTCTGATTGAATTTGAGATAATAATATATCTTAATCACTCAACTACGCTCAGATTGACAACAACAAAATCATATTAACTTAGTTATAATCTTGTACTTGATAATAGAATTTAAAATTAATTAATAAAAAACATTAAAAAATAAATAAAAATCAGGTGAGATTAAGACTTACGTATTTGGATGGTGCTGATTTGATCTCAATAAATGTACAGGAATTCCATTTTTAGTCGCAGATCTAGTGTTCGAAGATATTTATATTTTTATTTTTGTCATACCAATAATAATATAATTTAAATTATATATAAAAAAAATTAAATAAAACTTTCAACTCATAATTATATTATTTTAATTTTTTTTATTAATTATCTATAATTAAGATAAATGAATAAAAATAAAAATATTGAAAATTGTGAGAGACATAATTAAAATATTTAAGTGTATTTTTTAGATTTTTAAAAAGTTAAAAGTTATTAATGAAAATTGGAAAGGTAAGAATATTATTTTAATATTTTTTTTAAGTTTGTTAGGATATTTTTTAAAATAAATTATTAATACTTCCCATTCAAATTTTTGAAACTCTTATATTATGGAAATTTATTAAATAAAACTTTCCACTCATAATTATATTATATTATTTTTTTATTAATTATTTATAATTAAGATAAATGAATAATAATAAAAATATTAAAAATTGTATTTTATCTAAAAACGAATATTTTTAGAGATATAATTAAAATATTTAAGTATATTTTTTTAGATTTTTAAGTAGTTGAAAGTTATTAATGAAAATTAGAAAGGTAAAAATATTATTTTAATATTTTTTGAGTTTGTTAAGATATTTTTTAAATAAATTATTAATACTGCCTATCCAAATTAACTCTAACTTATATTTTCAAACTTTTATATTATGGATATTTATTAAATAAAACTTTCAACTCATAATTATATTATTTTAATTTTTTTTATTAATTATTTATAATTAAGATAAATGAATAATAATAAAAATATTGAAAATTGTATTTTATCAAAAACTAATATTTGTAGAGATATAGGTAAAATATTTAAGTATATTTTTTTAGATTTTTGAAGAGTTAAGAGTTATTAATGAAAATTAAAATATTTAAGTATATTTTTTACCTTTTTAAAAAGTTAAAAAGTTATTAATGAAAATTGGAAAGGTAGGAATTTTATTTTAATATTTTTTAAAGTTTGTTAAGATATTTTTTAAATAAATTATTAATACTTCCCATCAAAATTAACTCTAAATTATATTTTGAAACTTTTATATTATGGAAATTTATTAAATAAAACTTTCAACTTTTAGATTTTTAAAAAATGAAACGTTATTAATGAAAATTGGAAAGGTAAGAATATTATTTTAATATTTTTTTAAGTTCGTTAGGATATTTTTTAAATAAATTATTAATACTTCCCATCCAAATAAACTCTAAATTATATTTTGAAATTTCTATATTAGGGAAATTTAATAATGTTAAAAATATTTTTAAAAAAATAAAATATAAAGTTTGATATATTTTTTTATTAATTTAATCTAACCATTTTCATTTAAAAAATAAAATTTATTGAAAATTATATAATAAAATTATTTTGTATTTTTAAATTATTTTTATATAGTTTTATAAAAATTTGAAATTTTAATATATGTAGTTATTATTTTGAAATTTTAAATAACTTATTATTCAATATTAGTGTTATCTTATTAAAAATAAACTAGAGACGCTAACCTAAATAAATTAACAATTAATAAACAATTTTTGAAATAAATACAGACATAATTTATCCTAAATTTATTATATTGTTGATGGAATTTTGCATGTACACCACCTACAGACGTAATTGTATTAGTCGAAGTCTGCCGCTAGACGTAATTGTTCGCTATAGATTATTACGTATGGTCGTCAGCCTCGTAGTTAAAAAACGTGTCCGGTAGAAAGAAGTTTCCACTCGATTCGTGAGTTTTTGCAATTCACCTCTCTTGGGAGCCCAACATGGTTGTTGGTACACTGCCCCGTGTCAAAGCATTCATTGTAAAGTTGTGGGAACCAATTCACCTCTCTTGGGAGTCCAGCATCCTCGCTGACACAACGCCCAGAGTCAAAGCATTCCTTATAAAATTGTGGAAACTAATCTACTTCTCTTGTGAGCCCAACATCCTCGTTGTCACTGTAGTCCAAGCATTCTTTACCGGTGGAAACTTTTTCCTTCCTTATAAATGAATGTGTGGAAATCTCTTTAACAATTTTAAAACCACAATCGACCACGTGATAGATCAAAGTGAAAAGTACATTAAGCTAGATAATTAAATTTTAATTTTCTCCTAATATAATTTTTAAAATAATTTAATTTTTTCTTCGAACAACACAATTTAATTTGTAACTTAATATAATTTTTAAAATTTAAAATAATTTTTAAAAAATATAGTTGGGCTTATGGGCTCGGGCAAAAATGGAAATAAGGTCATATAAAATACTCGTATTCTTTACTAAAATTGAAGGCGGGAAAGCTTCAAATACTGAAGTGTCCAGAGAGAGCAAGCGGAGCGATGGAGGGAAGTAGGTCAAACAGCTATTTACAGAGCATTATCGATGCCATTTCGTCGTCAGATGTAAGCGCTATTTTATTCATTTCATCTCATTTCCTTATCTTCTGACTCTCAAATGATGAATTTAAGTTGAATTCGATCATTAATTAAGACTTGCGAACTGTGATTGAGTAGGCAAGGAATTGTAGATATTCAGAATTATTCGTACATTTGCAATGTTTTATTCATTTTCTGGACGAATTCTTTTACTATTCTCTCGAGCATTGTTCAATTTCTGCCACTAGATTTCGGTGAACGGAAGATACTTCCTTCCAGTGGCTAATTGCTAACTTATGTTTTACAGGTCGTCGAGAGTCGTATTCAGCTGCTCAAGAAACTGGAGGATTTGGATTTATCTTGTAAATCAGAGTTGATTTCATTAGTCGAAAGCCTTACAGTATCCGCTCTGCGATTCTTTTCATTTTTAATGCTCTGTCTTTCGTCGGTGATACTATTTGAATACGAGGCATCGGCATTTAACTTTCACAGCTGCATGTAATTAGCAGTTAATTAAAGCTTGACGCAATCTTTGATCTGGTTTTTCTTAATTTTATTACTACCGAGTTTTTATTAGACTGAAACATTTATTGAAAAACTTGCTATATCTTTCTCTTCCGAGTAAATGTTTGTATACCTTGACGGAGAGATTGATATTTTGGGAGGATTTTACCTGTTTGGATGTGACGCAATGCTTGTTGAACAGAACGATACTACTAGTGGCTGTAAAACGTATAGAGAAGGACAAAGCCGATTGTCTAGCACAGTTTCTCACACTCGAAGTTAAGGTAAACATTTTTGTTATCTGCTACACGAAGCATTTTTCGCTCTGTATATAAGTTAATATACGAGTTGATAACCTTCTACGATATTTAATAGTGCTGTATTTTTCTTCAGGCAAGTGTCTGGTGTAGAAAGCATCTAAAGATGACGCTCATGTCAATCCAGGAGTTACAGGAAGAAGAGCATTCCAACCTGTTTTTTCAGGTGGTAAATATTAGTTGATGTACATCTTATGCTGGCCAAGTAGATTTTTGGTGAATACACTCCTGCACACACTTAATTGATGCTCTTCCATCAACTTAAATCAATTTTATATTAGATTACGATATTTAGTCAGGGTCTTTTGGAATGTAGATTCGAAACATCATGTAGTTTTAAGATTATCGATAAATATAAAATATTTCTAGCTCTACTCCATGTTTAGATTAATTGTTTCTTTTGGATAAACACTCTTTATCAACAAATTATTTACCTAAAACTATCTCTTCACCTGAATTTGAAACAATTTTGAAACGGATCTCTATTCTAATATTTGTTTTCCCAAAAATCTAACATAAATATGTTAAAGATCTCCTATTCGGGCTATGAAAATGAAGTCCGTTGTGTGATATGCAATCATCGACATTGATAGTCGTCATCTCATATCCATTATTTCTTTCTTGAATAACCAGTGGTGTCCATGGATTTCTGTACCAGTTATAAAACTAACTAGCCGTCTTGATTATGTCAAGTAAATTTCTTTTTTCAAATTGAGCCAGTTGATAGAATATAAAGTTTCCCATGGCACTCTTGTGAGCTATACCTGGGACCAATACATTTCTTTCTCCTTAAAGCTTTGTGCCATTTCCATGGTTTCTTCTTTGATGTTTTTCCTTTTCAAGTTTGTGCTGGCTTAAGTATAAATAGTGTTTTATTTTCAGTTATTTTCTTGTTAGGAGTGGAATTATTGTGTTTTTAACTATATTGTTTCATTACACTCCAGCAGGTTTGTTCTCTGACATTAAGTTTCTTTGTGCAGCTTCTTTTGGATGCAGTGAAATTTTCTGCTGCCAGTTTTTCAGCTTTGGCAAGATATCCTCTTTCAGAAGATAAGGCGTTGATGAATACGGTTGAGAATTTCATATTGGAACAGCTGAATTTAATGAATGAATCGGTTTCGGAAATTCAGGTTCTAACAGCTTGCACAATAAATTAATTTGTTGCTAAGAAGCTGAATGGTTAGCTCTTCCAAATTTTCTTTATTTTCTTTTCCTTGCTATCAAACTCAGAAAAAAAAATTGTACTTTGAAGGTCAATTTTAGAGGAACAATATTGTCAACATCCAGGAATTGTGTGATTGGCAAGAAAACTGTTGTACAAGCCTCTTCAAACTGCTTTGATAAAGTCACCTAATCAAACTGGAGGCTAGTAACCTCAATACCACTGCTTAGATGAATTATAAACCCACGAGGAGGCTAAAAGTATTATCAACTCACCTTATCTTGGCTGAAATCTGGGAAGATGCTGCGAGTAACACTTCTAGGATTCTTGTTTCTAATTTATTTGTTCTTTTCTCTTTTCTCTCATAATCAAATCTGATTTTTAAAAAATGGATACATTTGATGTTGGGGTAAAATATCTTAAGTTTCCATTGTTTATTCTCTCTTTGCGATTGTATTCTGGCTTGAATCAGGTGTGATCCTCGTTGCTTGTTTAGTCTAAAAGATGTTTAATTACTTCTCCTTCATCTGACATCATGGCTACTTTGTTTCTCTTTGTAGAGGATTCGTGAATTTGGCCCAGAAATATTGAAAGCTGTGCAGATGGTCATTGATGCGATGATAAAATTTTGTGAAGTTCACTCTCAAGCCCTAGATCGAGAGTTCTCTGGTGAAGACTTTGATTTAACCAGCAGTGCTGTTAACCATGTCATCAACGTGCATAAGTATATAATTGAGAAATTATGCGAACTGGGCACCATTGCTGCCAAAGGTGGTGGAGGATTGGTGACAATTCTCAACGTGTCATGGAAAGGAGTGTTTACCTTGCTTCAACTTGGGAATGGGGTGTTAGCATCAAAGGTGAACATAGCAGGCATTATTCTAAATCTAGTTTCACTTGTTATGGAGCCTCTGAAATGTGCAGCAGCCACTTGGTCTTCTGTAACAAATGAAGCTGTCTCTGCAAGTGAAGCCAGACGGATATTTCTTCCAGTTAAATTTTTCTTGATTAATGCTGTGAAAATATCATGCCTCTATCCTTGCCAGGCATATCTAGTACATAAGGAGATTATTCTTTGTGTTCTTACGATCTCGACATATAAAGTTTCGCTAAGCAATGAAAAGTTACTGGGAACTGTAGCTGAAGCAATCACTGAACTTTTGGAGACAACGTGCTTGGATTTGGTCAAGTGTATTCTAAATACCACCGATCTAAAGCAAGACCTGAAACTTGGGATTATGGATTTGTTATTCACGAGTGAAAGGTGTTCTCATCCAGATGGAGATCCCAGCAATTGTTTTAGGATTGATCCAATGAATGGAATTTTTAACACTAATTGTGAAGACATGAAGGATGCCAAAACCTTATTGCTTGGTCGCATTAATTTTCTACTTAATCTGTTGAGGCATTCTTTCGATCTCAGTGATGATACAAAACTACTGATCACGACAAAACTCGATGTGCTCTTGGACATTTTAGTTCAAGAAGATGTCTATGCATCAGTTCTTCTCCTGCAAGTTCCTTTCTTGTATTTCTCTGGAAAAACTACAGAGCTAAAATGGCAGCCTCTGTTCTCTTCTCTGGTGCATGCATTGAAGACTTTCATGGTTGCAGTCTCCTCGAGCTGTGCTTGGCTGGAACTGCAATCCTTCTTACTTGACAATCTCTTGCATCCTCATTTTCTTTGTTGGGACATTGTTATGGAACTTTGGTGCTTTATGCTGCGCTATGCTGATGATGGGCTGGTGAATGGTGTCATCTCTAATTTCTTTTCAGTAATGAAGTTTTTGGCATCATCAGAACTAGTTCTTGATCACAGTTCTGCATTGAGAAAAATGGCTAGGTGTATAACGATGCTACTTACATATGGTGCACATTCTAAACTAAATGAGATTTGTGAGTCTATTTTTATTCAGGACAAATCTCGGTCATCGACAGTGATATGGGCTGCCTTGATCTTGGAAGGCTTTCCCCTAAACTTACTCTCTGAGAAGATTAAAAATATTGCTATTCAGAGTATGATTCACGATTACTTGAATTTCATAGGGAGTTTTGACGAGACTTCAATGTTAGCTCTCTCTTCTAGGGTAATTGGGCTGCCAGTATTTTCTGCATCTACTACAATCCAATCCATGTAAGTATTTGTATTTTACCTCGTTAAGGAAACTTCATACTTTTTCCAACTCTCCACACTCCTTATAGCCTCTCCATACTTAAATTTTCATAAGCATACCGTTTTTTTTTTTTTTTTTTTTTTTTATCACT